TGAATTAAACATCATTTTCTCAGCATTTATATTCACTGAGATGTGTATATAGGTTGATAATTTTAATAGCACTTTATGCATCCTTTCAGTGAAATAAATTCATTATCTAAGAGTCCTCACAAAAAACGATAACAATGCAAGACAGTAACAAGACAAAATAGTGCTGGCCTCATACTGCTTATTTGTATTTAACTGTTTTATAACTGCCTCTTCAAAATATAACCAAGAGGGGTGGATAGCAAATTTCAAGTTTTTGCCGTTTGGGGACCTGATGTGAGATGGAGAGATGCTACTAAGCCCTCTGAACAACAAACTGGAATAATAATAAAGCTGTCTTTCTAAATCACATGCCTGTACCTGTCAGTAGCTAGTTTATTTGAGTTTTTCACTCCTTTGTTTATATTAGTGCCTCCTCCCTCCTGTGTGCCTCCAGAGTTAAACAAGCAGGTCTTTATCTCCAACTTAATCCTAAGCTTTAAAAATATAGACCAAACTCTACGGTTATTAAAATTTTCAGTCATATTTATTTATTGCAGAAAAATAATATACAAAGATATTTACAAGACAATCATAAAAATATGAATGCATTTAGACACCGGATCTATTTGCATTTTACCATGGGTCATCAATAAATAAATAGAATGTTGTTTTTTGTATTTTAAGGGTTTTTTTTTTCCCCTCAGAGGAAGAATGAAAAAAAAGAATTCACTGACTGTGATTTTGTAAGTCAGTTTGATTCTAGCGTTTTTATTTCTAAAGGTGTTCTTAAAAGTTCCTCTGATGGTTACCATTTTAAGAAGGAGAAAGTCCACAATGACGCCTTTCCTTTCAGTGGCTGCTTGGCACGACCTCTTGAGAATGCATGCATGAAAAAAACAATAAAAACATTCTTCGTCATAAAAAAAAAAAGGGACACAAACAACTGTTCAAACTTCTATCAGAATGTAGAGGTGTGAGGATGGTGCCGCTGCCCATCTGGGAATCACAGTCCACGGGCCTGTCTCGCTTTCTCTTTTAAAAGTGCGCCCCACGCCCTGATTCTTTGAATTTGGATTCTGCTCTTCTAATTTCCAAGAAAATCTTTGGCATATAGATTTATTTTTAGTTATCCAGCTCCAGAGTCTCTAGACTGTCCATTTTCTCCTTCTCTGGAAACAATGACATCTGCAAAAACCCAAAAGGGGGTAAAGTTGGTTATTGTGTAGGTCTCTGTGGCTGTTTGCTAAGAGTAGGGAGCCCTGTTCTTATCACCACCACCGAGAAATTACGCTGAACAACCTGGAAGGATTTCAGCCCAAGGGCAAGAGGAAGTGGGTGGGCGGAAAAGAAGGAGGTGGAATTTGGAAACATATCGGTTGTAAAAAAAAGAACGAAAACTTTAAAGCCAAAAGAAAGGGAGGCGCTGGCCACTGTCCTTACCCATGACCCTTGACTCTCTCCGTCTCCCCTCCTGTCTGTCACGCACACTCACCCACACGCACACCTTCCCAAGGGCGCATCCCTCGCTCCCTAGCTCGACCGAACGGCCTCCAGGGACGCCGGGGGAGGAGGTGGCGGTACCAGGCGGGCTGGGGAAGCTAGAGGACAGCGGGGGAGGGCGAGGAAGGCGCGGTGGGCAGGGACCCGCGGCCTGGCCGTCAGTCCTTCTGCCACCTGAACCGGGAAGGGTGGCGCCGGTCCTTACCTAGGTCTCCGGCCCTGCCGAGGGGGTGGGGAGCTCCGCCTGCTAGTGGGACGCGGACATGGACCAGGCCCCCTCCATCCTCCAGACGGAGAAGGCATAGCTGAGCCTCTCGTGGGCCACATAGCTGCAGCTTGCCATCTTGGAGTCCAGCTCGTCGCTCTGGAGGACCTGGTAGAGGAAGTCGATGTACCTGGCCGCCAACTTGAGGGTCTGGATCTTGCTCAGCTTGTCCGAGGGCAGCGTGGGGATGATCTTCCGCAGCGCGGCGAACGCCTCGTTCAGCGACTGCGTGCGCTGGCGCTCCCGCACGT